GTCAACAAACCAATAAGTAAGTAAATAAATAAATAAATAAACAAATAAATAAGGAAAGTGCTTTTAAGTGTATAGAGAATCTTGAGTATGACTACAGTGAAGTGGGAATAGATAGAGTACAGGCAAGGTTTAGAAGGAGCTTGTTAGAAGGCCCATGGGAAGTGCTTTTTGCTACTTCCTCCAAGGTGAGGTAAACTGCATTTAGGAACTTTTCCTTTCCCTAGCTGGCTGTTAAGCTGTGGGTCACAGAGAGTTACCAGCATAGAGAGCTCAGGCATTCGCCAAGTTGCGCAGTCTTGCATTCACCCCTACACTGTGTTCACTGAAGGTATGAAGAGGGAGGCTATGTTCAGGAAGCCTGGCTTGACATAGACTAGCCATTCCCCTTAATAGTCAGATATTCTTATATGGTGCAGATCTCTGTGAGATGAAGACCAGCCTGGTCTAAATAGTAAGTTCCAGGCCAGCTGGGGTTTCAGGGAAACACTGTTGTCCCCACCCCACCCCCAAAAAAAAACATGTCCTTATATCAAGTCCCAGTACTTAGTATCCACCAAATTGATTGCAGTTATCAAATTGACTAGGTTGTCATTTGCCATTAGGTTTAATATTAAGGATAATTTTTAGAAATACCCCATATTGAACTTTTGCATCTGTCATAAAAATATCATGGAACATATATTTTATGATATACCATGTTGTCTTTATGTTCTTTTATTATTATTTTATATGTATGTGTATTGCTTGCATGTAAGTGCACCCATGTCCTGCAGTGCCCATGGAGTTCAGAAGAGGGCGTCGGATCCCCTGGAACTGGAGTTATAGACACTTGTTCCCACCATATGGGTGCTGGGAATAGAACCTGGGTCCTCTGCAAGAGCAGGCCGTGCTCTTAACCCCTGAGGCATCTCTTCATCCTCATCTTTATGTTCTTGAGAAAAAACTATTTGAAGCCAGGCTTGGCAACATGACCATATAGCAAGTTCCAGGCCAGCCTGGGTTACAGTGTGAGACCCTGTCTCAAAAAAAATAAATAAAATAAAATAAAGCAGGCGTCGTGGCGCACACCTTTAATTCCAGCACTCAGGAGGCAGAGGCAGGTGGATCTCTGTGAGTTCAAGGCCAGCCTGGTCTACATAGTGAGTTCCAGGGCAGCTGGGGCTACAGAGAGACCCTGTCTCAAAAAGACCGAAAAAAAAAAAAAAACAAAAAAACCCCACATAGAATCAACAAAGCTGTTCAATGCTGTTACCTCTCCTGAGCAAGTATTTTATTTCTACCTTATGAACATTGTGAATATTTAACTTAACTCTCTGGTTAGCTGCCAAAAAGCTTAGAACAAATTTGTGGCTCACCCATAACAAATGTGCTCTATGCCTTGTTAACTTCATTCCTGGCTCCAGTTTATGTCTATGCTCTAGTTATTCTTTCCTCTTCCTTTTTTCACTTCTGTTTTTGTGCTGGGAGTAGAACCTAAGGCCACCCACAGCTAGGCAAGTGTATCCCCACTGAGCTGCACTCCTAGTACCAAGTTATTCTCTTTTTTAAATTTGTAAAAATATTTTATTTATTATTTTTATTTTATGTGTATGTGTATTGCCTTCGTGTATATATGTGCACTGATGTCATGTAATGCCTGCAGAGGTCAGAAAAAGGTATGGGATTCCCCTGGAATTGGAGTTTCAGACAGTTGTTAGTCACCATGCAGGTGCTGAGAACCGAACCCAGGTCCTCTGCAAGAGCAGCAAGTGCTCTTAACCACTGAGCCATCTCTCCAGCCCCAACTTATTCTTTAATAAAAATTTAATTCATACTTGGGAGGCAGGAGAAGAAGGGTTGCAATAAACTTGAGGCCAGCCTGATCTACACAGGACGTTCCAGACCAGCCGGGGCTACTTAGTGAGACCTTGCCCCCAAAACACAAATCTTGGGGCTGGAGAGATGATGCAGGTGTTAAGAGCCCTGGCTGTTCTTGCAAAGGACCAGAGTTGAAATCCCAGCACCCACATAGTGGCTAACAATTGTCTGTAACTCCAGTTCCAGGGGACTCTGACACCCTCTTCTGACCTCCTCAGGCATTACATGACATGGGTACACTTACATACATGTAGGTATAACACTTGTACACATAAAATAAAAATAAATCAAAAAAATTTTAAAAAACACAAATATTTATAGGATCTTATGGATATATAAATATCTGTACTGGAGGGGGTTGTTTTTTGGTGACAGAGTCTCACTGTGTAGGCCCAGCTGGCATGGAACTTGCTGTGTAGTCCGGATTGACCTCAATCTCGCAGAGATCTGTCTGCTTCTGCCTCCTGAGTGCTGGGATTAAAGGCATGGGCCACCATGCCAGAAAAGGTATACTTTCTTATAAGCAACCTTTTATTGCTTCTGAAGTAGTTCAGATTATAATGTACTGTGTATACACAAAACTATGTTGTATACATCTTATCCACTTCCTTTTGCTTTGACGTTTTTCTTGGGAGGTATTTTTGTGTACATTTTTGTGTGGCTTTGATTACATGGAATTGGTTATATTAAACTTGTATTGCTTTAATAGTGTAACCAAATGATAAAATAATGTGTCTGTTGGTTAAGCTTGATTAAATTGATGTCAGAATCCTATCTTTTATAACCAATATTACTGTTTCCTTACAATATGCTTTGTTTTATTCTCTCAGTCTGCATGTGATACTTTTCCTGACTTGTGTTTTAGAACTACAGGTCAGTGCATAGCAGTTAACTATATTACCTCAGTCAGTCCATAGCCTCAAATAAGTCATCGTCTATACCTGTCAGACTTGTCTTTGTTAGCACCCTGTTCTGAGTACTCACAAGATATTCATCCCATGAGACAACTTCTCTTGCTTCTCTAAGTTAATCAGTTGTTATATAAACAAGCTAATGTGAATGAGTATTAGCTTCCAACCTCATTTGCTTTAATTGGTTTGGAGTTCATCTGGATTTTCTGATTGTCTTTCTAACAACATCCAGATGATAACATGAATATCACTTATACCTTTTAAACTCTTTAAGTATCTGCAAGAAGAGTTATTTGGCCTTCTTTACAACTCTGAATTATATAAGGCAAGCACATGCCTTTTTTACAGATGACAAAAACCAAGACAGTAGGCTCAGCAATATAGTTGTCCTCCAGCCTCTGTATGTGTGCCATCGTTTGCACCCAAGTGCTTGGAGAGAGAGAGAGAGAGAGAGAATAAGTTTAATTTAATTTTAAAAACCAGGGCTGGGGGCTGGAGAGATGGCTCAGAAGAACACTGACTGCTCTTGCAGAGGACCTGGGTTCGATTCCCAGCACCCACATCGGGGCTCAAAATCATCCTTAATTCCAATTCCAGGGGAATCCGAAGCCCTCTTCTGACCTCCACAGCATTGCACGACACGAGTGCACTCACATACATGCAGGCAATACACTCATACACATAAAAATAAAAATAATGAATAATAAATATATATATTAAAAAAAAAACAGGGCTGGTAAGATGGCTCACTGGGTAAAGGTGCTTGCCCCTAAGCCTGATGATCTAAGCTTGGTGATCTGAGTTCAATCCCCAGTATCCACATGATGGAAGGAGAGAACTCACTCCTATAACTTATCCTCTGACTTTCACTGATGCACCAGGTCACACACACTGAAACACACAAAAAAATAATAATAAATAAGTGTAATAAAAAATTAATTAAAAAAACAAGGACAAAAATCATTTTATTTAGTCTTCAAAATTATACTAGCAAATCAGTGCTAAAACTAAGGCTTGGACCAGGTCTCTGTGCTATCCTAACTAAACATCAAAAGCACTTCCAACTTACTTTATAAATATTACAAAGTCATTATCCACTCCTCGAAGTTTAAAGATGGGAGATGAGCACAAAACTGTACTCATTCACACAACTGGGCAGAATTGGGAATGAATTTCATTTGTATTAGTATATTTGCATAATTTTCTATTCCTGAAATTACTTTTCCTTTTAACTGCAACTCTAATTACCATCACTTTCTATTATGGAGGGAGAGAACAATATTTTATCTTATCTCATGAAAATTAGTGTTGTAGCCGGATGTGGTAGCACACGTCTTTAATCCCAACACTCGAGAGGCAGAGGCAGGCAGATCTCTGTCAGTTCAAAGCCAGCCTGGTCCAGGACAGCTGGGGCTACAGAGAGACCCTGTCTCAAAAAGACCAAAAAAAAAAGAAAAAAAAAAGAAAATTAGTGTTGTAATGGAAATAATTTTCTTTGGTAATTAGTAACATTTTTCTTCAGACTCTGAATTCATCTTTACTCTAAAAATAGTTTGCTGTTGTTATCATGCATATTCATACTGAGACAGGGTCTCATGTAGCTCAGGTGAACTTCAAATTCACTATGTAGCTGAGGCTGACCTTGAACTCCTGATCTTCCTGCCACCACCTCTTAAGTGCATGGATTACAGGCATGCACCACCAAACATGATTACATATAAATGAATAAATAAAGGTCAGGATGTAGTTTCTTCTATGGCTATTTGAGGTTTTTTAGTTTTGGGTTTTTTCTTTTTCTTTTTTTTTTTTTTTTAGTCTTTTTGAGACAGGGTCTCCTTATAGTCCCAACTGGCCTGGAACTCACTATGTAGTCAAGGCTAGCCTTGAACTCACAGACATCCTCCTGCCTCTGCCTCCCAAGTGCTGGGATTAAAGGCATCCACCACCATGCCCGGCTCTGCTATGTTTTTTTTTAAAAACACCAGGTATAATATAATTTTAATCAATCTCTGCATTAAAGTAGAACATCAAATTTTTCATATTGTCTGTGTGAAATTTTTCAAATTGTTTATATTCAGTACATAAGCTAAAGTTTCTTTAGTGTTCTGTTTTTCAGCATTAATGAGTATTATTAAGCATTTTAAAATTATATGTAGTCTTTGCTACGATCATGTAAGAATGGTACCCAATATCATATTCAACACTAACTACTGCCTTCTAACTCTCCTTCAGCTTCTGGATTTCTGAGCAGCATTGTTCAAGCAAGATGGACCCTGTAGTCTTGAGTTATATGGACAGTCTACTGCGGCAGTCAGATGTCTCACTATTAGATCCTCCAAGCTGGCTTAATGACCATATTATTGGGTTTGCCTTTGAGTACTTTGCCAATAGTCAGTTTCATGACTTCTCAGACCACATCTGCTTCATCAGTCCAGAAGTCACCCAATTCATCAAGTGTACCAACAATCCTGCAGAGATTGCCATGTTCCTTGAACCCCTGGATCTTCCCCACAAGAGAGCTGTATTTTTAGCCATCAATGATAATTCCAACCAGGCAGCTGGGGGTACCCATTGGAGTTTGTTGGTTTATCTCCAAAATGAAAATAGCTTCTTTCATTATGATTCCCACAGCAGAAGCAACTCAATCCATGCAAAGCAGGTAGCAGAGAAACTGGAGGCTTTCTTAGGGAGCAAAGGAGACAAACTGGTCTTTGTGGAAGAGAAAGCCCCAGCTCAACAAAACAGCTATGACTGTGGGATGTACGTGATCTGTAACACTGAGGCCTTGTGTCAGAACTTCTTTAGGGGACGGCCAGAATCGCTGCTGCAGCTACTCACCCCCACATACATCACAAAGAAGAGGAGAGAATGGAAAGACCTAATTGCCAGACTTGCTGAAAAGAAGAAATAACTCCTAAAGAATACTCTTGACTTTTGAAGTCTCCTCTTTATTGGACAGTTACAGTCTCAGTGCCTGAGGGAAAACGACTGGTAGATGATAGTTTACCATTCCTACTTTTTTTTTTTGAAAGAATGTCATCCTCTGCATTATCCTAATAGAAAGCTTCACTTTAACCCTACCAAGAGCAGTAGGTTCTGTGAAATTGTCTTGAAGTTATGCACCAAAACCTTAGAACAAACAACATTCATTAAACAGTTTCAAGAAAGATTCTTTTTTTCTTATTGGTTTAAAATTATCTTGTTCTCCCTTACCCACAGGCTTATTCCAAAGGAAATCAGTGTTCTATAAAACAAATCAATAATATGTGAAATCTAAAGAAATGCAAGAAAAAGACAGCAAAAGAACCAAAATCTTGTGGCGCAACTGTAAGTAGAAGTGTTGTCCACCTGAAAGTAGATCATGACCTAACTTCACTTAGGACCTACCTGCTATAAAAATAACTTACTTCTCTGATGTCTGTGATTCACCTGCAAAGATTTGTTAAAGATGACTTTAGCCCATCTTCAACAGATTCCTGGAATGCTGTAAGAAAGAGGAAATCTTGAGTAACCTCATTAAAATAAATGGCTGTGGGCTGGGGATATAACTTTGGTAGAAGATTTGTCCTAGCGTACACAAAGCCCTAGATTTGATCCCCAGCACTGCAAAAAAGTAAAGAACTGACTGTGGTAGATTGCTTGGTTTGCTCAGTGAGTGGAGGAATCTGGCACACTAAATTGATGAGTTTTCTTTGCCTTGTGTGTCAGGCGAGGACAAACACCCTCCTTTTATCAAAAAGTCTGGTTCTAAAATTCATAATTGATAACATCCCAAGATTAGCTGTTATTTAAGACATCTACCTTTTGATAGGTGCAGTTTTCTTTATCTCTTACTAATCTGGCAGCTTGTTTGCAATTGCAACATGATAATTTCAGGACTATTTATGTGTCTGAAATTTAAGAGGTGATTTGTCTTTTAATTATAAAGGAAGTGGAGCATGATGGCACACACCTTTAATTCCAGCACTAGGAAAGCAGAGGTAGGCCTCCGAACTTGAGGCCAGCCTGGGCTACACAGTGAGTTCCAGGCCAGCTGGAGGCTATAGGAAAACCCTGTCTCAAAAAATTAATTAGCTGGGCGTGGTGGCGCACACCTTTAATCCTAGTACTCTGGGGGTAGAGGTGGGGAGGCGGATCTCTGTGAGTTCAAGGCCAGCCTGGTCTACATAAGCGAGTTCCAGGACAGCTGGGGCTACAAGGAGACCCTGTCTCAAAAAAATAAAAAGACCAAAATGCAGATTATAATTTTTTAAATGTGGAACCAAGAGATATGTTTTATCAGTATCAGATAATTTACATGATAAGTTGGGTACACAGATTGAATTCCTAATGACAATTTGTGGTGCATATAAGACTTGAAAACCAAAAATTTGCTGCACCCACTGAAATTTACTTCCAATACTTCACTCTAACCTGCCCCCAGCCTTCATGGCCCAAAATAACTTACCCTTCAGTAACCACAGAGGTAGGAACTCAGTTCCTTTTAGCCAGGAAGGTGAAAACAGTAAAAGTGTAAGAAAGTACAGGCTACACAAGGAGGCTTCAGTGAGTGGGAATTGAAACTGCAAGTTACAGATAAAGCTAAAAAAAAAAAGTTTCCTTTTCAAGTCAGTATTCTTTGAATAAAAAGAATTAAAAACATGAAAGACACGAGGCAGGAAAAAGATTAGGAACTGGCAGTCAGCCATAGAGGTGAGACAGAAAGGGGCAACAGTGTGGAGTGACACGGGCTGCTGATAGGCACGAGTGTAGATAGAGATAACAAAGCAGTATTATTTCTGTGGCTGTTGACTTAGGCAGCTAATCTAGACTGAAAGAGTCAATCCTCTCTGGGAAAAGTTGTCTTTCTGATAATGCCAAGTCTGTTTGCTTACATATCAGACTCCCATTTGAAAGCTAATGTGTATGAAAGCAGTCTTTCCACATTCCCAGAGATTTATCCCAGAAGTAAATTATCTTTTTTAAATATTTTATTTATTGTTTTTATTTTATGTGTATGCATGAATTGCCTGCATGTAGGTAAGTGCACCCATGTCATGCAATGCCATGGAGGACAGGACAGAAGAGGCTTTCAGATTCCCTGGAACTGGAGTTATGGATAGTTGTTAACTGCCATGTGGGTGCTGAGATTCGAACCCAGGACTTCCGCAAGAACAACCAGTGTTCTGAACTGCTAAGTCATCTCTCCAGCCCTAGTAAATTATCTTTAAGCTAAACTAATAAGTCTTTCTTCAGAAAGATAATTGGGGCTAGAGAGATGGTTCAGTGGTTAAGAGCACTGGCTACTATTACAGAGGACCCAGGTTCAGTTCCCAGCACCCACATGGCAGCTGAAAAAACATTCACAACTCCAGTTCCAGGAGATCCAGTGCTCTCTTCTGGCCTACCAACATTACTGCCATTATACATATATGGTGCACTCACATACATATAGGCAAAACACTCGTATACATTAAATAACTTTTTTTAAAAAAGAAAATTTGAGCCGGGCATGGTGGCGCATGCCTTTAATCCCAGTACTCGGGAGGCAGAGGCAGGCGGATCTTTGTGAGTTCAAGGCCAGCCTGGTCTACATAATGAGTTCCGGGAGAGCTGGGGCTGCAGGGAGACCCTGTCTCAAAAAGACCAAAAAAAAAAACATCTCCTTTTTCAAATACATAGCATGATATGACCATCCCACAGGTTAATCTCTTTCTGTAAAACTGAGTATGGACTGGTGAAATGGCTTAGAGGGTAAAGGTGCTTCCTGCAAGCCTCATGATCTGAGTTCAATCCCCAGGACTTACGTGATGGAAGGGGAGAACTGATTTCCCACATTTTGTCTTCTGACCTCCACCCCACATGCCCCCACACAATTTATGTATTTTGAGTATGTCACTGTAAATGACAGAATTAGAATTGGCATGCAGTATTTCACTAGGTACTAGAATAGTCTATATACTATGTACCTGCTTGGCCATACAGACTAACGTTACATGATAGGAAATAGAGGGAAGGAACAATCTCTTGCTGATATTGTTCCCTTTTTAGAGTCAAGATGATCTACCATAAGCTGCATCTACAAAATTCAGCTTCAAAATATTCAAAAGGAAAGCAGGGTATCAAAGCTGAATTAAATAGTTATCAAGTGGAACCACCTCGCTTTCAAATATCCTGTTGTAGCCAGGGTTGATGGTGCACACCTGTAATCCCAGCACTTGGGAAGCAGAGGCAAGCAGATTTCTTTGAGTTCCAGGCCAGCTGGGACTACAGGGAGACCCTGTCTCAAAACAAACAAACAAAAAAAGATCTAATAAAAACTACTGGGTACAAACAAGAACTTATTCAAGGATGATCTATAGAAACAACTATGTCATTCTGTGTTGTACAGTTAAGTACTATGGACACATAAAATATATATATATATATATATATATTTCTATAGCTTTATATGTGTGTGTGTGTGTGTGTCTGTGTCTGTGTCTGTGTGTGTCTGTGTCAGAATAGAAATTGGTACTGAGAGTGGGGTACTGCTGTGACAGACCTGACATTGGAGGATTGTGGAGGTGTTTTGAGCTTTGGGCTGGAAAAGCCATTGCATGCTTAGAGTTTGTTGCTGTAGAGCTTGGAACAGTTATGTTGAAAGAGTTGTGGATGATGGAGGCCTGGCTTGTGAAGCTTCAAAGGGAAGCTGAGACTATCAGAGCTATCCGTGTGATATTAGAATTGAGAATCTGTGGGTTCTGGTCGGCTGGGGCTGAAGAATCAGCTGTGATTAAGAAGAGACCAGAACCTGAAGCAAAACCTTTGCTTTACTGGGACAATTGATGCTGGTTAGCTGGGGCTGAAAAATCAGCTGTAAGTAATAAGAGACCAGCATCATCGTGGTGAAGTCTTCTGGGAGGTATTTCCTCAGGGTCAGCACACAGAGGGGACCTGAGCCTCTATCTCAAGCTGGAAGCAGGACTTAGTAATGTGTAAGAGTCTCCTACATGGTTCTGGTGTTGAAAGCATGAAAGGATGACAGAGAACAGCCAAGGCTTGGCACTCTGAGAGGCCAGGAAAGGCCATAGGTGAAAATACAGCTTCAATTGCAGTTAAGACCCCAGGATTGAAGCAGTCATGGAGAGAATCTGAGGCTTTGTAACCCAAGAGGCAAGAAGAGGCCATTGGTGAAAGTGTAGCCTCAGTTTCAGTGGAGACCCCAGCTTTTTGGAGATGCCAGGACCATGGGAAGACCACCAAGGACAGCAGTAGGTATGGAATGGAGCTGGCCTGGGTCTGTGAGATGAGCTGTGTGTGCTGTGGACGGCAGAGTCAGCAAAGTGGAGCTGCCAGAACCCTTTGGAGCCCAGAAGATTGTGAGTGAATCCAAGATGTCCAGCCTTGAGTTACTTTGCTGGACTTTGGTTTTGATTCTCATATTGGTGGGGATGGGAGATTGAGGCAGAGTCTTTTGTAGCCAAGGCTGGTTTTGAACTTGATACATAGCCAAGCCTTGAACGTCTAATCCTCTGGCCACTACCTCTGGAGTGCCAGAATCACAGGCATGTTTGTTTGCTTGCTTGCCTGTTGTTTGTGTGAGACAGGGTCTCACCCTGTAGCTCTTGTTGGTCTGGAACTCACTATGCAGACTCACAGAGATCAGTCTGCCACTGCTGGAACTAAAGGTGTATACCACCACACCCAGCTTAAAGATGAAGCTGTTCTTAGCAGAGGATGGTTTCAATCCATCGACCTCAGGGTTATGGGCCCAGCCTAGTGCCACTCTGATAGGTACAGATTGACATATGCCACCCCTCCCAACTAATCTCATTTAATTCTTGTGTTTTTCCAGGTGATATTATTCCCATTTTATAAATAGGAAATAAAATTAGAGAGGCTCAATCACATGACCGCCATCTCTTCAAACTCTTTCTGCCTATTCCTTTCTTCCAGAAAGCAATGGCAAGAACTCGTTGAACATTTTTAAGTGTAATCTTGCTTCACTTTCTGATTTTTACATTCTGCTAGTGTCCTGCAGAAATAAGTGCTAGGCAGCAAGACTTGTACAGTAACTGACTTTGTTTTATACATTAGCTCATTTGGGGATCAGCTACTTATATCGATCTAAGGTACTTTAAAAAGGCCTACATTGCATTTCCTGTCTTAAATGGCCCTTCTTACTCAAATATATGAAAAATGGGGAAT